GAAGGAAGGAAGGAAGGAAGGAAGGAAGGAGAAAAAGAAAGGAAGGGAGGGAGGGAGGGAGGGAAGGAAGGGAGAGGAGAGGAGAGGAGAGGAGAGGAGAGGAGAGGAGGAAGAGAAGAGAGAAAGAAAGAAAAGTCATGAGCTCTTGTTGATTGCTTCCTCAGCTGAAATGGGGGCTGCAGGGCTGTTGGGGGAGAAACAATAAGAAAGTGCATCAAGCACCGAGCACATGCTAAGCACTCCATCATGGCAGCTCCTGATAATAATATGGAATAGAGTTGTATCTAACATGACTCTTTCTTGCAAGTGACAGAAAATCCAACTTAAGTTGGATTAAGCAAAAAAGGGAAATTCTTAGTGAACTGAAAATTCTGCAGGCTCACATCATGGCTCCAGGCCCTGTCCAGCCATGGAGTAGGCATTATTCTTGGGCACAAAGGTGATATTCTCGTGGCTGCAGATGCTGTGGTGGCTCTGGCTCTGCCAGGAAAGAAATAAGGAAAGCCACTCTCCCCATTACACAAACAATAGTTTTCTAGCTCTGAGAGGTCGAACTTGTGTCACCAGCCAGGCCCTAAACCCATCACTGATTAACTCCAACTTACATCAGCTGTTCCATGCTGGAGGTGGACACAGGACCACACTCATACCAAGATGGGAGCAAAGGGTAGTTCCCTCAACAGGATTATAGGATAGAGTGTGATAGGCTGCTGGGCAGCCAAAAAGCAAACAGATCCTCTACAATGCCTCAACTGATGAAAGCACGAAACTAAAATCATAAAGATCTGTGTGTGAGTTCTGGCTCTCCCATCTTCCTTGTGAGATTGAGCAGTTAGTTAATCTCTTTTAGCCTCAGTTCTCTCACCTGTACCAACATATAAGGTCATTGTGAGGATTAAGATTATGCCTTATCATCATCACCATCATCACCATCCATATTGCAACCACAACTACCATCATCATCCCCTCAAACATCATCACCACCACCACCACCATCACAATTATCATTACCACCACCATCACCATTGTCACCCTCAACATCATCACCATCATCACTATCATCACCACCACCATCATCATCACTACCACTACCATCACTATCATCATTCCACCACCATCACCATTAACATTACCATCACCATCACCACCACCACCACCACCATCATTACTGCCATCAGCATCACCATCACCATCATTACCACCATCACCATCATTATTATCAACCATCATCACCACCATTCCACCACCATCACCACCTTCGTCACCACCACTATCAACTTGATAGTCATTATGATTACTACCACCATTAGCATTATCATTACCACCACCACTACAATCACCATCACCATCACCACCACTGCCACCTCTATGATCATCACCACCTACCACCATCACCATCACCATCATTTCACCACCAGCACAATTATCATTACCACCACCATCACTACCACCCTCATCACAACCCTCATCATCACCACCATTCCACCACCACCATCACCACCATCACTATCATTATCAACAGACATCACATAACCAGTTTGTAGCTGGGTCTTGAGTGCAGAGCCCACTCACTGTTTCTTCAGTCCCACCACCAACCACCAGGATGAGTCACAAAACGTAACTCAGGCCTGTTCATCAATTTTCTCCATGTCAATAATGACAATGAATCAGTGGGTGTTCTCAGCTTCTCAGAGGGGGGTTAAAGTTCTCCTGCTCTTCCCTTCACGTTTCCAGATGTTCCCTGACTTGGATGTTCCAAACGCAGAGTTTGGAGGTGTTGAGGCCAAGGGGTTTTTCCAGGTCAGCCGTCATCTGCAATCACTGAGCTGATCCTGATGCTGGACTTTCCCTGTTACCCTCTCCCCAAGGCCCCATCAGGGAGGGCTTCAATCCTCAGGTCACCTGTGGCCTTCCGGCCCTCAGAGGTGCCATCTCTACATCTACCACTCTACCACTGGAAGGCAGCACAACCACAGACTGCATCAATTTCCCTGCAACTCATGGTGGGGTTTCCCCCTTATCAGGGTGTTTGCCTTACTCAGAGAGCAGATCCCAGAGCAGTGACACCTAACTTAATTTTTAGCAAAATATTTTGAGAAGGGTGCTCCCTCACACATCTCCACAGTCCAGGTGATGCACCCACTGCCCAGGGCTTGGTAGTCAAGAAGAGCTTCCTCCCTGCAGCTCTGCCCAGATAGGGCTGAGCTGGGCTCTGGAGCGAGGCGCTGGGACAAGCCTCTACCATGCAGCTCATGTAAACTCCAGAATCAGTGTCAGTTTTCTGAACCCGAGACAATGATCTAAACACAGTCAAAGGCTTTGGGGAAAGAAAGAGAGAGTGCCTCGGTTCTTGCCTGTGTCATGCTCGCAAAGCAAAGAGTTTTGCAAAATTTCAATGAAACATGGGCTTGCAAAATTGGAAAACTGGATTATTTGTGAGAACACTGAGACATCCCTGGGCATGTCTATCTGGAAAAACGACATTTTCTCTGGCAATTTTACAGACATTCTATTTCAATTTGGCAAAGAAAATAAAGCAGTTTTTCACAAAGGCAGAAACACAACTAGAATGTTCACTCTCCCTAATTGTCAAAGAAGTGTAAATTGGAAAATGAATCGGGACAATTTCAACCTATTTGATTAGCTAATATTTTAAAAATCGAACACTCATACAAGTGAGGTGAAGTGATTGCTTTCTAGTGACACAGCACACTATCATACCCTTTTACAAATAATGTGGCAATGTTATTGGGAGACAGAAATACGTCTATGTAATTTATGGGAACTTAGGCTCAGAAAATATTAAGGAATAAGAATGAACTTTATGAACAAACATGTGGAAGGTTGGAAGCAAGAGTGGGGCCTTGGGGAGGAAGCATTAGGGCAGTGACTCCACAGACCCAGATTCAAGTTGAACTACACAACCTCCTTATGCCTCAGTTTCCTCAACTGTAGAACAGGAATGATAAAAGTGCCTGTTTCACAGGACTGTTGAGAGGATTAAGTGAGATACAACATATTATAAGCTTGTGCCTGGAAAGGTTAATTCTTGGTAAATGATGACTATTCTTTTTATTACAATAAAATATACAAAACATAAGGTTTACCATTTTAACCCTTTTGGAAGGTACCATTGAGTGGCATTTAGTACATTCACAATGGTGTGCAACCATCATCATATTCCCAGAACATTTTCCTCATCCCCAGAGGAAACTTCATGCTCATTAAGCAGTAGCTCCCCATTAACATATTAGTTATGAAGATTGTAGAATTATACGAAACTCATGATACAATGTTGAGTGAAAAAATCAATATGTGAAATTTTGTGTTATGATATAATTAGTAAAAGAAGCATATTAAAAGGTCCGAAAAAAGAATATATAAAATAGCAATTGCATTTTTCAGACTCTACATTTTAAACATTATTCTTTATAGTTGTAAAAGCAAAAAGTAGAGGAACAACAATCAACTCCAAACCACCATGACAAAGCCCAGATTGTTAAATCCAGGTCTCAGGAACAGAGAATCATATGTGATGTTTACACTCTGCAGGGTCAGAGACCTCAGCGGCATTGGTTGCTGCCTTGTGTTCTGCAGCCTCACAAACAGACAGGAGGTCCAGCGCTGCTGCTCTGTTCTTCTGGAATTTCCTCCTGAACATGTTTTGGGTGCAGTAACCATTTCTTTCATCTTTTTAAAAACAGGTACCCATGGGGCTGGCCTTCTCAAGGAAGCCCAGCTCCCCGTGATTGAGAATAAAGTGTGCAATCGCTATGAGTTTCTGAATGGAAGAGTCAAATCCACCGAGCTCTGTGCTGGGCATTTGACCGGAGGCACTGACAGTTGTCAGGTAAGAAAAGATCAAGAGATCAAAGTTAGTCTTGTGCTCTCCCGTCTCGGTCTCAGCCCCTTAGACTTCATTCCCCAGGTGGCAAATTCAAGGATTTTCCACCGAAGACTCCTAAATGTTGCTCAGAAACTCCCTAGATCTGTCCCTGAATGCGTATTCAGATAATCTAAGGAGATATCTTGGGGCTTGAGTTCGAGATCTGTAGCAAGGGAGTTTTAAGTGCCATAACTACCTCAGGTCACTCACCCTCCTGGGGTGTGCTTGTGGCCAGGGACTAAAGTGGTGACTTTTCTGGTAGGGAAGGAGGTAGAGGGTACAGGACAGAGACCAACTGCACACACTTTACAGTGATGCCCAGGCTAGGCCAGTCTAAAGGAAACACCAACATAGGAAGGGATGTGTGCAGGATTCACAAGGGGTTTTTTACCCCCAGGAGAAACTAAGTGGTGTGGTTTTGCTGAACAGATTTTGCTAAGTACTTAAGCACTGCAGATGCTTGAGTAATATGCTCATAGTCCCTTTCTGATTTCAATTACTGGGAAAATGTACATATGGATAATAGAAAGATGGCATCCCATAATAAAAGACTGGCAGCCTAACCCTCACATGGATTTTTCTCCCTCTGTATAGGGTGACAGTGGAGGGCCTCTGGTTTGCTTCGAGAAGGACAAATACATTTTACAAGGAGTTACTTCTTGGGGTCTTGGCTGTGCGCGTCCCAATAAGCCAGGTGTCTATGTTCGTGTTTCAAGGTTTGTCACTTGGATCGAGGGAGTGATGAGAAATAATTAATTGGACGGGATTACAGAGTGAAGCATTGACTCACCTAGAGGCTGGAACATGGGTAGGGATTTAGCATGCTGGAAATAACTGACAGTAAACAAACCAGGACATTGTCCCCAGCTACCAGGGAAGCCAAACCTCAGCATTTTTTGTATTATTTTCTGACTGCTGAATTCTGTAATAAGGTGACATAGCTACGACATTTGTTAAAAATAAACTCTGTACTTAACTTTGATTTGAGTTAATTTTGGTTTTGGTCTTCAACATTTTCATGCACTTTGTTTGCCCCACCAATTTTAAATGGGCAGACGGGGGGATATAGCTGCTTTTGATAAGGAACAGCTGCACAAAGGACTGGGCAGGCTACAAGGTCACAGAGGGGAGAGCCAAGAAGTCCTAAGAAGTTGTCCATGCGTTTACCTCATCAGCTAACGAGGGCTTGACACACATTTTTACTGTCTTTATTTCTAACACTGAGATGAATGTTTTCAAAGCTGCAACATGTATGGGCAGTCATGCGAACTGGTTCTGTTATTGGGAATGAAATCTGTCACTGATTGCTTGACTTGAGCTCAGCCCAGGGGACATGGAGCAGAGTGCTGTATACCATGGAGTGAATCGGGCCATGGACGTGTAACACAAGACCAGCTGAGAGTCTGAATGCTATTCTGGGGCACATGTGAGTCTAGGACTGGTGCCAAGAGCACATAAATGAACAACAAGCACATATTGAAGGTAGACTACTTACTTCCCATTGTTAATTGCCTGCCCGGTTTTGAAACAGTCTGTAGTACACACGGTCACAGGAGAATGACCTGTGGGAGAGACACATGTTTAGAAGGAAGAGAAGGGACAAATGCACATTTTTTACCATTTAAAATGTTGTTACCAAACAAAAATATCCACTCAAAATACAATTTAACAATGCAACAGTCATCTTATACCAGAGAAATGCAGAGAAAAGCAAAACTGCAAGTGACTGTGAATAAAGGGTGAAAGTATCAAATCCTCAAAGAGCTGTGTTTATTTCCTTGACAAATAGATTATTTGTATTCAATTCCGATGTGCTTTAAGGATGAAGATGCTCATTTTACAATTAGCACACACTTCGTGTATCTTGTCGCCTGTTCTCCTTACAGAAATGTTGTTCCCCATTGTGAAGGATTCCCTTTGGTACCAGTTTTGCCTGTCCACATAAAGTATTTCATTTTAAAATCTCAGCATAAAATACAGATTGCATCTGAAAAGATATTGAATATAACATACAAGCAGAACACACAAGTTCCACATTTCAAAAGCCTCGATAACAAAAAAGAAAGATCAAATCCCTTATTCGTCTCTGTAAAGTCATTTATAAAGCGCCTGCTGATCCTGTTAAGCATGGATATAATTGACCTTTCTTTTAAATTAAAACGTAAGCTCCTCCCCAAGACAACTCAAAGTGTCAAGATTGAATGGGAACTGTTCATGTTTTTAACTCTTGGCCACAGGCACCCACGGAACTGAACTTAACAAATATATGAAAAATATCCCTTCACTTTTAAAATCCTAAGACCCAGAAATCATAATCCATGGGATTTGTTGAGTAAAGAAGAGAATCTGTGGCTCTAGGTGTCCACTAAAGGAGAGCCAAAAATGTTCTGAATAATCTCAGGACCACAGCATTATTTTATGAATAACAGAACCAAGACCTCAGATTGTACAGCAGATTGGCCCTTATTGCTAGAATGGGGCCTAAACCATGCCTGGAACCCCAGATGCTACAGAGAAGGTAGAGGGGAGAGACTCCTGACCTGTTCATGCTGCAAAGGCATGCGGAAACCAAGGTGAGCAAAGGACACGAACGCTCACATTCTGTGGCCCAGGAACCTGTGATTCAGTCTCCTCATTAACAGGATTCCCAAATTTTCATCCTCCCTGCAGTTTTTCGAATGTTCACTTATGGGCTTAGTCCCTTGACTGATAAGATTTGATGAACATTTCTGCACAAATTTCCCAAATCCTTGGTTTTCAAATCCTGCATTCTTGATGGAGCTGTTATGAGAATCAGGTGAGGGACTTCCCTCGTCTCTCTTTAGCCTAATGAGTCAGAGACCACTGCTCCAGTGCAAGGAAACAAACAAACAAACAAAAACAGAAAGAGCCGTGCACCTGAGAGACTCTTTTTTAAGCCAGCTACATATTATGTGTTCCCAGAAACTTCAACAGTACCACAAATAGTCCTAACTCATCCAACATTATATAAAAATACTCTGGATAGATTGAAGTCTTTATACAATATTACAACAGCATAGCATAATGTAGCTGAAACGCACACATGCATCTCTGCAAGGACAGCTTTGCAAGGAGGATCAGCTCCTGGATAGCTCCTTCCACCTTTGGCAGGGGCCTCAAAGGTGAGAGCTGGAAACTGGGGTTTTTTAATTCCTGCCACACTTAAAAGAATGTGGACTGAAAAAACAAAGGAGAAAGTCCTTATGAAAGATTATGCAAATAGTTAGAGGAAGGTCTTCTGTTATTATTTAATAGCATAGCTGGTTTTGATCAAATACACATACCTAACTTCTGATGAAAACCCAACTCAAAAGTAACAGAAATCACTTCAGGCTCCTTTTTTGACTTGCTTTCAGACCCTAAACAGAGGTTAGTTAGCATTACAACATTTAAGCTCTTCATGAATTTCTCTACTGAATTAACATATGTTTGGAAATGAGCTGCTGATATGAACAAAACCCAGCAGAAATGATAGAATAATCCAATGCAGTTTTAGAAGGGAATACACTAACAGGTTTCAGTCATTTAGCACGAAGTTGTTTTTTTAGAGTAAATAATCATGGATCACAATCAACGTGCTTAATTTGTAGTACTGTAAACCATACTCCTAGATTTTTTTCAAGTGTGGGGACTAGGTATAATTAATCTATCCAACTTTTCATTATGAAAATTCATAAACAGAAAAAAAATGAGAATTTGTGTAATTTAAATTTTTGTTGGTATAATTCCCCATGTTTATATATTAGTTGGATATCAGTTTTCCTTGCTCCCCTTTGGGACAATCCTGCACCACCCCACCACCCTTCACCAGCCACAGACAATCTCTCCCAGTTGTTTAACTTTAATGCGGCTGATGTGGTAGAAGAGTCCTGGTCTCAAAGGACTCCCTCTTCCTCCAATTCTTCCTGATCAGTTTGCAGATCTCACCCCTGATTGAATCAAGAATGAATGCACCGTTCTCAGTGTGTACACAGGCAGCAGTCAAAGGGAAGAAAGATTTTCCTCAGGATTTTTGAAATATTAAAAAGCATTAGAGTTCCGTATCCTTAATTTCCAATTCATTATCAAGATTGCCTTTTATTTTTTAAGTTAGCTGTTAAATCATTTTTAAAGATTACATAGAAAACACAAGACTATGTGTCATAATTTTAAAAAAAAAAAATCAAACAGTACGGAAGTCTCTGACAGGAAAGAGATGGCCCTCCGTTCCCTGCCCATCTCCCCAGCTCATTTGTGTCCCCAGAGGACATATACTACATCTTTTAGTATACATTCTCATATTCATATTCTCTATCTTTTTTCATGAAAAATTTAAAACAGAAACTTAGAAAGAATTTCAGTAATGTTAATTTTTGTTGATATAACTCTTCATGTTTGTATATTGGCTGGATATTAGCTTTCCTTGTACACTATTTAAACACCTGCCTCCAAAACTCAGTCTCTCTTTCTTTTCTCTGCCTACTTATCTCTATTACCTATCTATCATCTATTATCTATTTATCTGTTCATCAATCCATCTATCCATTATCTTTCATCTCCATCTATCTATCTATCATCTATCATCCATCTACTTATTATCTGCCTAGCTACCATCTGTGTGTCATCTGTCTTCCTATCCAGCTACAGAGAGAAACTGCCTTTGGTTTTAGTTTTTTATAAATACTATAACACATAATTCAGTGATGTTTCACTTTGTAATCAGTCTTGAAAATCTGCCTATGCCATTCCATCTACACAGACCTGACTCCTCACTCTGTAGAGTAAGCCACACTGTTAATTCCCTGCTGCTGCATGTCCCAGCGATTTCTACTTTCCCACATCAACAGCTCCTGCCTTTAGATCACTTCTGAGTCTTAGCACCTTACATGGAAATGCTTTTCTCTTCACAACCATGTTTAAAAATAATGCATATTCTTATCTAGATTGGGTGGGGTTTTTTTTTACATTAATGTTTTATGTTTACTTTGAATTTTTTGCTTACAATATAAGATGAGGATTTATTGTTATTTTTTCCCTAGGCATATTCAATTTTCTCAACATCTTCCTTTCTCCACTGGTTTGAAATGCTGCTTTTCTTTGGGGTGCATTGAATTTTGGACAATGCCTACCAAGTTTTTCTACATCATCCACTGTTTCTGGCAAGGCAATACCCTTGGTTTCAGGCAAAAGCATCACAAGGCCACCACAGATGGATGCCAGGATACCTATGGAATAGGGAAAGGTGTTACTGCCCCCAGGAAGACACAGCTGGGCCTTCCCCCACAGGCCTCCTCACTGTGAAGCCACTGTGTTACTCACTGGAGTAGCTCTCAACCACAGCAACCTCTGCATCCCACATCACTGCCTTGGCTCTCCTTTGTCATGATTTCAAATGTTCTCTCCTTTCCTCAAACCCTGAGTTATGGCCCCTGCACACCTGGCAGCCATGGGTTCACTCACACATCTCACAGTGATTGACTGAGTGCCTTCTCGGGGTCCAACACCCAAGGCCTCCCCTCCTACATCATAGGGAAACAGAAGCGCTGGAGGGGAGTCCCCTCTGCACCCAGTTACTGACACTCTCACCTGTTCCTCTCCCTCCCATTCCTCCTGTCATCTTACACTGGAAGAACTGTCTTGGTGTCTACCCCAGGGCCAGCACTCACTTAGACTTGCCTTTTTGGGTGCCTCACTGTAGTGATTAACCCTTTCTCCAGTATCTTTAACCTATTGGGAGAAGCTTTCAAACATATTCAGATCTTTCTTGTTTGACCAGCCTTATCTCATTCTCACCTCATCCTTCCATTACCATCCTTTCTTTTACTGTTCTCTAGAGCCAAAGTTCTTGAAAGCCACCCTCTCCTATTTTCTCCACTTATTTGTATCCAAGTGGTGTGCTAGTAAATGTCTAACAACTGGCTTTGGGCAATCAAGCCCTGACTGGCAGCATCTGCTAATGTGCATTGTGTAAATGCTCCCACTGTGGGCCCTTCAGTCTACTGACACAAC